ATAATATTATGTATGGGTACGGAGGTATAATAATATAATATATTGTGTATTATTATAATGGTTACAGACCCAGTTAATATGCTCATCAATATGTACTATAATATTGTACGACGATCGATTTGGACCGAGAAATGGGAATATATATTATATATTATTAGAAAATGCTGTATATATATATATATATATATATATATAATATAATATATAGGTGTAACCATTATTATTTCAGCTACTGCCGCCGCCGATGCCGTTTTGGGACGACCACTGTTTGAACTAATTACAATAATCGCTTATGACTTTCCTACTTGACGTATTTATTATTAAGGGGCACGCTACACTTATTATAATAATCGATTTCCATACAGACAATGGACACTCAGCATCAATAAGTACTTGTACGCGCCTATAAATATTATAAGACTGCATTTATTGACGGCGATCATTAGGTATTATATACTATTGTAATAATATGTCACTAAATACTTTGACTCCAAATATGGTTATACGTATGTACGACTGTACCTAGCCAACTACCTATAAATTAATAGGTGTGTCAAACTAACAAGTTGAAAATAAAATATTATCTTAGTAAATACGTAATATACAGTTCAAAAGTATGACGAATTCGTCGAATAATCAAGAATAAAAATATATTGATTTATTTTTTATTACTATTTAATCTTTTGTGCTACATGTGTTGAGTTTCTAGCTGTTAAACAAATTAAGAAGATGCAGGTATGAATATATAAATATATTTCACCATTTAAAAGTGATGATGAGGTACCTAGTGATATTATAATATCAATAAGACAATAATACCTCATTTACTCTTACTTAAAGTCATTTTATACAACATTTTAAAGAATTTTACATATAGATATATAAACAATTTGCAATTTTAAAATACTCATAACTCACTTTAATAATAAAAAATAATAATAATAAGCCTATGAGAATCCTTATATAGTAATGTTACCTTTAATTTTTATACGAGATTAATTCACATTAAATTTTAAAATAACGGAGCTAAACGTAATCTGCTGAGCGTAAAATTTGATAATATGTTACGCACTTGTAAGATGGAGACAACACATGCGGGTCTAGCATCCTCTTAAAGTATCTACTTAAAAAATTACACTTAAAAAAATAAAATATGTTTTATTATAGTACCTATGTAGCTGGAAAATATTGTAATCACATACTTGTATAATTTTCTAACGGAAAGTATGCAAATGAATGACCACAGTATGTTTTTTATTATCAAAAAAACTATTAAGTTTGCACATGATATGAAGTATATACAGCAAATTACACGCTTAATAAAATATATTGTTATCAGTTATAACTTATCAACGTTCACCTACAATAATGGTCGTCCAATGCATATCAAGTCTCAATAAATTTCACCGACCACCGTGTAGTTCACAATTATTATTATAACTAAAGAATTATTGCAACTGAATATTGATTATTACTACTATTTGTAATGGTTATGTAGGTATATAAGTGTAAAATATAAACTTGAATATTGGTTTCAATATGTTGTACATTGTTGTGGTCTAAAAGCAATAAAATTTTACACTTAAGTTCATAAAAAAAATCTGATAAATATTAGTCATTGTTTAACTACATAATATCCACCTACCATTTCACATTCAAACTAAACATAAAATATATCTCTTTTCTTAGAAATAATTACAATGTGTTAATATGTTTGTCATTACATTTAACATAATATAATATTAAATACTAATATATATGTACACACACAATATATTGTATTAGGTATTATATTATATATTTATTATTTATATTTTATATACTATATATCCGTCAAAACGTACAAATGGTAAGCTAATACTTATAACTTACAAGGTAGATACTAGATACAATAAAATATTTGTGGTAGGTATCTTTTTTCAAGGTAAATTCAATACTGAAAAATATTTTATCTTTAGAACGTAATATGGTATACTATTATCTACGCGTCAAAATTACTATCTATATTTAACGAGATAATAACAAAAATTGTATAAAACTCGATATTCAACTGTTGAACGCTTTGAAAAAAGGTCACCGGTTGGGGTGGGTTGACATAACATTATAGTTCTATCTTATTATACTGAAGAAGTCGACATTCATTCGAAAATACGGAAAACAAAATTATAATTAAAATAACGAAAAATGTTAAATTATATTGTTTTCATATAAATATAGGTAACGATGCTACATAACAGGTGTTTCATAGATAAGGTTACAAAAATAATAATATTATTTTTAAATAAAAAAATTACCATTTTGCATGTACGTATAGTTGAAATACATATACATTTTGTTTAGAAAATAACACAACAGGTGAATAGTGTAAATTAATTTATTGTATTTGTGCTAATTACCCATTTATACAATTGCCGTTTATTATTACACACCTATGGGATTGTTGCCGTCATTGTGTAGCGACACACATATTTTTTTAAATGAAAATCATTGTACGTATTATAATTTTTTTCTTCGGAATATTGCTTTCCCTATCATAAAACTAACATATTACTATTAATATTGTAATGGACTGAAAATTAATATTTACATATGTATAGTTTACCAAATTGCAAAACATCATTAGACGGCATTTGTCGTTATTAGGGAATTTGGTTTTTTTCCCCATCGTATATGGTGATCGGAATAATAAATTAACGAGTGTGCGCGTTTATATTCAGTAATTATGATTTTTTTTTAATAATTATTGTTACGGACACGCCAATGCTTTAGCGTTTATACTATATCATAATGTTTACATTATGAGTAGGTTCAGGACGTGTATTACAGTTTACGTGTATGACACTACACGATATCCAATTGCTCGAGGTACACAATAATTGTCAACCTTCGACTATTATATCTTATTCAATAGGTACGGACAAAAATTAACGTAAACAAATATATTATAGTGTATCACAAAGTCCTACAATTCGATATTAAACTATACAAAATTCATTGAAGCAGAATAATTTATTAACTATTATACTTTCCCGATATGATATAATATGAATTATACTTTAAAAAATATATTATATATTTGACGATGTTCATGACTGTACTACGTGGAAACTTGAAGATTGCATTTAACTAATAATTAATATTATACTATAAAGCTTAAAATATTTTTTGCAACTGTATTGTATAATATTATTAACAAATATCAAGTAATAGACTTGCTGCATTATAGAGCTCGTTGCGATAAAAACGTTTTTAAATGTCCTACTTAACACATTAAACATTCTCAATTTCAATAAATAAATAATGCAAAGAATGATGATTTATTTTATTTTTTTTACATTTTTGTCGTTATTGTATTGTTATGTATTGTTGATAAAAATAACTATATATAGATACCTTTTATTTCCTATTCAAAAACCATGAATTGGGCAGGAAGACTATACATATTGTCATAAATACTTATAAAGTGAGTATAAAGTGATTATGTAAGAATATACCTATTTAGTTTAGCTTAATGAGATTGTAAATTGTATTTTATGATATTAACAATAGTCAAATAATTTGCTACAAAGATTAATTCTTATTAATGCATGTTGACGTGATTATAAATATTGCAGGTATACGTAAATAAGTAGGTAGTAGGTTACCTAACCTGTCTATCATATAATTCGCAATTAATACAGAATTATAAGCAATACATACCAACAAAAATGGTATGAAAATTTGATCCTTATAATGGTATACTCCTTCAAATAAAAACTGAACAGATTAAAAATATATACATTTAAAAAAAACAATTTTTAGCTTCAACCTCTGACCTGAGTTTGAAATAAAATCGTCAATTTTAAAGGCATTGTTATTATACTGGTGTAGAGAAGATCGAACGTAAGATGAAAAAAAGGCAATAACACGGTCGCTCGATTATTATTACAGACTTGTCAGAAATTGGTATTGTGTTGCAATGGTGAATATTTTATATTAGGTTGGCCACGCACAAACCTTATATACCGAGTCCATTATTATTAAATGAAATAATAAAAATAAAACCGATACTTTTTTATAGCCAAATAAAACAAAAACCGAAAAATATATATAATACATGCATGAGACGTGTTTTATTTGGAACAGACGTGGAGGCAATGTATAACCGGGTGGCCGTAAATCTACACGTTTTGGTCAATTTTTTTTAATATCTGATTTTAAACGTCACGTTTACGATTTCGGCAGGACTCATGAAAATTCGCTTTACAAAGAATCAAGGGATATAAAATATGCTTATGTTTGTAGATTTGAATTTACACAACTTGTTTCTATACACGTGGAGTATTCACATCAATTTTTATACAAGGCCAACAATTGTGTATTATAGTAATATTATATTATACTATAAGTATAGCTTATAATGTAATAATATATTGTTCGTATTGTTATCATAATAGTAATAATATTTTGTAATCGTGTAATATTCTTAAAAGGATATTTTCAAAAATGCTTTATACTTGACTATAATTATAGAGTCTTAATTACGATATATTCATCATGCAATTATTAAAGACCGTATACAAAATTACATACGGAGAAAAAGATACTAGGTCTCTCTCTTACTGCAAATTAAATTAAATATTACATTTTTCMTTTGTTAATGGTCAAGTATGTCGAGGTTTTATAGCTATATTTTACATGCTATAAATCATTATACGCTCGTGTTTAGATCATTCGGAAACATATTTTAATTTTAATAATATCAGTTTTTATGAAAACTACGTGGACTACGTTATTTTTTTTCATTAAAGAACATTACACGAATGGAATTTTTATTTATATTTTTTGCGATAATGTTATATTATACTGGACTTATAGCATCGTAAAAACATCCATTATATTTCATTTGAGTTAGTATTATTATTATTTTAAAAATTGTATGCAAATAATAAGTATAGAGACATTACCGATACTAATCTAGAAAAAAAAAAAAAATAATAAAAACTTATAATTTTACATACCTTGTTCCTGCATGTAACTGAACAGTGAATCCAGGAAACTGCGTCTGTCCGTTTCGTTGCCCGCCGTATATAGCTGAAACATATTATTATTAAGTTATAAGTCAGTATTGTGATTATAGTTTTACATATTTTGTAACAAAAAGTTTTCACAGGTGAGTACAAAAAAACGTTTGTTGTGAGTTTATTTTGGTATTATTAGGGTTTGTACTTTTTGGCTTTTATAGTACAATATACATACCTACTATGTAAAAACAAAAACTATGATCGATGCATACTACTGCGGATTTGGTGTAACGTGTACATCGATGATGGTAAATGTGTACAGAAAATAATTTTAAAAGTTTGACAATATCGATGGTTGGTACACTGTCATATTATTATAAAGCAATAAAATAATTTTAATTATTGGGCCCTAAACGGTTATATAGAGATCACGAAATTTMGTAACACAAGCTCTAGAACACACACACTCATCGAAATGTATTTTATAACCTTCACTCGGTGTGGGTATGTTTACATACATAGGTGTCCATATCATAAAATAATAACATTAATTATGCTTTGCCGCAAAGGTGCATTTTATTTTATAATCGATAAAAAGTCTTGGTTACTATATAATATACGATAAAAACAAAACTTTTAAACTGGTATATTTTTAGATTCTAAGCGGAGCGAGGAATGTATTATTGGTTCTACAATGATGTTTATTTCTTTTTCTTTTTTATTCTGTAAACACTTTTTCTCCCTCTAAAAATTTGCTCAAAAGTATCAAGTGCAGCATCTTTTCTGAAAGGTAATGTTCTTGAGCTTGTACTTTAGAGAGGTCATTTTTCGATTTTCGAAACGATACTCGAAATAAAAGCGGTTAAAGGAGAATAAATGTACGATTTCACGATTTTATAATACTAAATAATTACGGACGACGTTTTTTTTGTTGTTGAAATTATAACATTATAATTAATATAATATAACATATCCTGATAAACCGTCTCCACTCAGAATCGTTTTTCGTATACAATGATATTAYATCATTTAATTCAAATTTAATACTATCTATTACAGTAACCTACTGTACTACAGAGCGACATCCACTTACTTAACCGCTTTTTTATTAATAGACTGTACGTAATTAATTTCCTAAAAAGTGAAAATATATTTTATTGTTTTACACTTTCATCAAATATGCAATATTAGTAAAGACACAATAATATACCTATGTGAGTTTTTTTTCTTCTTGCCTAGGTGACACCTTAATAACACGTTTACTTGGCGCAAAGACAATTGTTCCCACGGCAATTAAACGCTTAGGTATTCATCCACATGTAAATACCACCGGAGTGTACATAGTTTCTATTTTTCTATATACAGATAAAATACATGATGGAATTTGTTTTCGGTCCGTATCGAAACACTCCACTCTATTATACGCGCATTACATATAGGTATAGGTACATATTATCTTAGTAAACGAACCACGCTAAACGAAATTAATGGTTTCCGTGTCATTGTTAAATTAATAATTATAATAATAATAATAAAAAAAATTTATAATAATGAAAAAAAAAATCTGAGACGTAGGATTTTTCCTCTACGTACACGGACGCGGTCCGATCGGAGGTCCTGCGGAGATCAAGGGGTCTAATGCGCGTCTAATTAATTGGCTTTTCATGGCGTGGTAGTAAAAATAATATTAATTACCGGCCGTTTATCGTATCTGCAGCTATTCGCCTCTTCTATTGTTATTATTTATATTGTGATTATTGTTTAATGGCAGTGATCCCACTGTGATCGAGACCTAATCTCCCGGGAATTACATATTCGGGTAGACGGCGGCGCGTGGTATGGTACTATGGTATATATAGGTGGAAAGGATGGGTTGCGGTGGTAATTCACCACGAATGATAAGAGGGTGGTAGTGGGGTAGGGGGCACTCGAGCATTGTTTATTGGTATATTGTTGTTTATATTATAATATATACGTATATGTTTTTTGTTATTATTATTTAATTTAGTTTCTCGTTTTTATTATCACACTATGTATATGTATTATGCATGTATATATATATATATATAATAATTTAATATAATAATATTATTACTATAGACTATCGTAACCTATTAGCTTGAGCGATAATGTTTGATTTCTGTRTAATAGACGCGATTCTCGGCCCACGCGTGCTCGATCGCCACGCAGTCACGAACCACCGCAGCAGCAATCGGATGTAATTCGATAATAATATTATATTAATGCAGAGTCGGGTGTTTGAATAATAATAATAATAATTTTATAATCCTGCTGCAACGGACGCGGTCGTTCATCATTTATTCGAGTGCTCGAAACACTGGCCCGTGGCTGTTTTTTGACATCGACCTAATACCGATTTATGTATAATATATATATCTACGCACCAAGACATTTTTTTATATAATAATATTGTATTATATTAATATAATTATTGTAATGTTATCGTCATGCGACTAAAACGTATTTATTTCGTAAAATAATTGAAATTCTTGCACCTAAATGCATACAAATTTAAATGCATAAATACTGTCAGGATCAAAATTGCATTAAAACAATATATTTTTCTTTTATACTTTATATAATAATATGTACAATACATCTATTCGGAGCGCAGAAAATAAAACAAATAAGTCGATGAATGTAACAAGGATAGATACATCATCAAGGGATGAAATCAATATATAAACGACACATAATCACCGGTGATGTAGTGAGAAGAAAGAAATATTGTTACGCCCACTGTGTATGTTTTAAATCTACTCAAATCACAAGTGTTGAAATTTTAAACGGAGTCTACTTTGAGGTATAAAATAAAAAATATAGATGTTAACAATTAAATAACCGAGGCTGTGGGCTAATGTAATCAATGTCTTATGATCAATAAATTTAAAATATCCTGTTGTATATTGTCTCAACTATCAATAAAACGTCGATAAAATAATTTAACAGTTCTATAAGATATTCTAGAATTAAAAAAATATGTAACACATGGTCTTAAAAACTAATATATACCTAGCTATATGTTTTATTTTTCGAAATGCCTCGACAAAAAGAGGAAGAGTTGTGCGTAATTTACATTACAACTATAAAACCATTGTATACAACTTCAACAAACTATAAAATAACAAGATGACGTAACTCTAATACTCAATGTCTCTTTATACCTATTTAATATTGTGTTGTCTCGTTGCTTACAAACCAGAACCGATTGACGAGTATATATAATTAATATATTTAGTAATAATGTTTTCGATGTGATTAAACCTATATAACGACATAATATTATATGAACGTATCGTAAAATTTTGAAAGATTATATCCTTATCAGTTACCTATCGCTTATCGTTATGTTTAAGATTGTGAGGACAAATCCGCCGCGCGACAGACCCGGTCGCCGTTCCCCGTTAAAAAATGTATATATGTATTGTCAACACATCGTATAGGTGTCAACATTTGGTTAACCATACACATACGTGAGCGCGGTTTTTGTATTCATTGGGTTGCACAAACACCCGGTGGACAGGGTCTTAAGAGATGATGGTCTCGTGAACACGAATAAAAGGACTCGTCGTATAGGTGTAGATTAGTGCGCGTATAACATGTTTTTGGCCCCTCGCTGAGCCTTATTCCGATAATCATTGAACGTATTTAAAAAAATATTATTATTATATAAAAACGACAACAATACGTCGCAGGAGGGAAAACGACGAAAAACGTCTCATTAGCGAGGATTGCTGCATTATTATCATATATCGTCCTTTGTTGTTTCTATTATGCTATAGTAATAAAGATACGCATGAACTGTCTGTTTTCTCCAATTTCGATTTTTACTGTCAAAAATTGGTCTACCGTCAATAAAGAAGTGTGTCACACGAGCCAGTAAATAAGTTTTAATTCCAAATAAAATAAAGCCGCTGTTCAAATCGTATTTAGCATTTAGCCATATAGTTGATCAAATAAATGATTTTATATTGTTTACTTGAATATGAGGTGTATTAAAGTAATTAATAATCATAATATACATTATACACAATAAGTTGTTGACTATAATTATTAGTTATTGACTTGTATATACTTATAATTTTTATTTATTGTCAAACATCAATAATGCCATATTGTTAATATATAACCTATGATATTTTTTGGCTAAAATAGCTATTATTAATTATTTTTGCGCCAATAATGATTATTATCATATTGTCAATATATTATAATTGTTTTTACAAAACATCTTGTTATTTACACAAGTTATTATCTAGATGACAAGATTAATATTGTTGAACTTYGACAATATCATATTATTAATATTACAAATGATATTTTTTTCGGTATACTGCAAGATCTATCTACCTAGTACCTTTATTATATTAAACATTGCAACCATTTACCTAAGAATAAGTAATCTGGCATTTTAATAAAATACAAAATATATATCTGTATAACAATACACAGAAGGATAAAAATAATTTTAGAAATCAAACAAAATGGTTAAATTGTTGAGAATTACCAAGTAAACAATATTGTAACTATTCAATTCATTAAAATATGATTAACCAAAAATATATGAATACAATTAATTATGTACATTTATACGTATACAGTATAAGATGGTATTTAAAATCAAATTATCAGATCTATATCATTATATTTAGAATTATAAATGAAGTTAAAACATAATTCAAACGTATAAATACATTTAAATGTTATTCATTTATTATTTAAATACTAAAAATTTATTATTATCGTCCAATAAATACCTATTGCGTTGTACGTAAATTTGGAAAAATTAAGTACTTATCAGCCGCCAAATTAATTACTTTAGGATATACCCGAACTGGGAACACGAGAGTTTACTACGATGACACCGGTCGAAATTTCCCACAGAAAAACAATTATTAACAACTTAATGTACACATGCCCTATAGATGGAGACAATATTGGGGTGGACGAAAAATCGTTTGACCACCCTATGATCCGACTATCAATTAAACTTGGTATATAATATACAATATTGTTGTAATAGATTTTAACAACAGTAATTTGTTTGCT